GAACCGATGCAAACTGTTTGAGATGAATCTTAAAGCAATTGAAAATGGCAAAATTTGGTATTAAAATGTCACTTATAACTGAGGCTTTGTCAGTATCTGTTAAGCAACTAATTTAGTAATAGTGAGAGATATTTTAGTGCAACTCAAAGTCTCATTATCCTAGGCATTCAGAATTACACGATATAAAGACAATGTTGTGTCAGCCCATGTAGATGGAATTATATTCTGATCATCCCATAGTTTAATTCTCCAGTTGTGCAGCTGGCAACTTTTCCAGCTTCTTTGACCAGTGCTACATCACTTGGTGCTCGCTCCACTAGCACCTCTAACCGCTTTGAGAATTCTCCAGTGTATGCTGAGCATCACTACTTTTACTCGAAAACCAAAACCACGGCAGTGGATCTTACCAACTGGGCGAAGTTCTCGTAAAATGCATGTAATAATATGTCTGCCACACGGGTTTCACTACTAAAAAACAAAAACTGGGTGTTTTAAATTTTATTACGCAAAAGCTCGCGGCACAGAAAGCAATCACTCGTTTGATTTTTGAGAAGGCTTGTCTTTTTAAGCGCCACAGAGGTCAAGAAATCCTGATAAATGCACTCCAATAACACCAAAATTACTATATCTAATGTTTGGATTATGGCGATAACTTTAAATAATGACTTTGCAGGAAGCCGAACTAATGAAAAATTTGAGATTATTGAAGAGATAGTGTAGAAGTTCCTATTCAGACAAAAAAAAAATTCAGCCAAACAGCCAGTACCTGACAATCATTTCAGAATGTCTGACATGTGGCAGTGGAAAAGCTTGTAACTTTACGTTTCAAAGGTACCGGTGGGTAAACTTACCAAGGGCAATTTGAGAAGGAAGGCTGCACAAAATGAGGCACAGTGACAGTTGCAATATGCCAAACGAATTGGTCGTAGTTCGAGTTGGAAAGCACATCGTTCTTCCGCAACAACCAGGCTCAGCTGCTCGACGCTAACACGCAACGACTTGTATTTTAGCTGAAAGTAGTTTCAAATTAGATTCTACATTTTGTGGAATTATGAAAAACGTTAACTCTTAACGCTGTAGCATTAATCAAAGCAACTGCGAACATCCCTAGCTGCATATTTAGAGAACCAAACTAATAAATGACTCAAGGAAGTAGCATCGTTCTGCACAACAAATTCAAGGATACTCTGAAGTGATTGGAATAATTAATGAAATGCAAGCTGAAGGAAACATAAAAAAATATATTTGACGGGAAGTCAAAAATCCAATTTTTTCAGATCCTGGGCAATACTGAAGAGGGAGATAAAGCCATTCTAGAATAATACGGTACCAGAGAACATAAAACTGCCAGGAGATTTCTTACCTATAAGCACAGACAACAAAAGCGGTTATAGCGGCAAAGTATAACCAGATGCAACGTCCAAAAAAGTCTCTACTTTCACTGATGATATAAATTTAGATATTTTTTGGTTATGGAAAAAGTCCTAAAAAAATAAAAGTAAAAACAAAAATAAAAATGAAAACTGAATTGGAATGTTTCGGTCCATTAAATCACATAAATTCCCATTCAGTGCTACAACTGGACCTTGTCAGTGTATGAATACTAACTTTTCTGCATCAATCAGTATAAATCGATGAGTAATGAGTGAAGTTGTACGGAACAATGATAATCCACGAATCAGTCTTTCTGGTACGAAAGTTCTAACTAATCCAAGGCTAGAACATTTAGCCTCTGCCAAATTGTTTCGTGTCCAGTAAAGAGAAATAACTAACATTTTCTTCGGATTCACAATTCTTAATTCTTCCTTTTCCATCAATCAAATTTAGCGCTGCGTGTGGACAAGAACGTATATCGTTCATATGCATACAAAAATCATACCTAGAAATATTGTTGGGTTAATCTCAAAGGAACAAGTAAAATTAAGCAAAACTAGAAACTATCATGTGCAGCAATTTACTTTTTGGACTTCACTTATGCATCATTTTGTCAGTCAGCTTTTACGTTTCTGCAAATATTTGTGTTTTGGAAAAAAAGGACATACTTCTCGGGTAATAACAATTCGTCATCGGAACATACAGCGAGAACCAGAAGTGCCTCGATACACTGTGCAAGCACAGCAATCTGGAGCAAAAAAAGAATTATTTTTGACTGACTTCTGGAGGATTAATTATCAGGCGATGCAGCACTGGTGAAAGCGACTGTAGCACTATTTCTCTGGATTTAGAGGATTTACGTTATCTGGAACAATAATCCGGTCAATCCCTGATGACGAATCAAACTGTTGCTTTAATATCCCAGGCACGTAAATCCATCGAAAAACATCTAAATCCAAGATGATAGTATTTATCAATGATTCTTAACGCTTCTTAAGCACTGCAAGTACACCATACCTGTGTTGGATGAAGTTTTCCGAGCAGCTGTCCAATAGCAATTTCCATAAGCCATCCATACTCCAGTGTTGCTGCATCCCATGGTACATCCAAATCAGAAAAAAGTGCTTGACCACGAAAAGAGAACGTTTCGAGTACCAGTAAACCGCCTGTAGATGCCGGGAAATCCTGGGATGGTTTGAATTGTACCGATGCATTACCCACACCAACCTGAAAATAAAACGCTGAAAGTTGTATGCAATTTCTCGTTCGTCACAATTCTTCTTGAAAATGGAGTGAAAAATGCACCTGCACCATTGTCCCCAACGGATCTTTAGCAATCTCCAGTACTATTTGATCAACATGAACCACTGGACAACTATCTGAAAAATTATTTCAATAAATACATAAAATTATTTCC